TTATAGTTCTTCTTCTTCTTTTTGGATGTTTTGGAGATGTTATTGGTTCAATTTTATGTTTGGCATTTTCGGCAGCAGGTGTTTCGCTGTTTTCAGTTGGTGGAAGATTGTTCTCCTTATCTTGGTGTGAAATGGTATTCGAAGATAGCAGAAGTTCTGGACGTATGTTGCTTTTTTTTCCAAAGATTTCATCCATTTCTTTGAAGTATGAATGAATGAATGAATCTGTTTATTTAGCCATTGCTATTATATACAATTTTTTTTTTATTTACATATTTTTTTTTGTTATCTTACATAATATACACAATTGTTTAATTTGATTCTCTAAGATATTTACATAATTTTTTGTTAAACAAATTCAAATTGCTAGAGTCTTTTATTTCTTTTGGCAGATTATTAAAAAGATGTATTCCATTAATTAGCAACGATCCCATTAAGAAAGTTTTATTTGAAAAATTTATGTTGAAATTTTCATCGGATCTTAAATGTCGAGAATGTAAGTGTTGCCGCGTAACTAGTAACTCACTTAGATATTTCGGTGTTAATTGATGTATCATTTTATAGATTACAACGAGGGTTGCCTTTTTAATATTCTGTTCAATAGAAAGCCAATTTAGGGTTTGTAGCATATTTTTGATTGGAGTGTAAATATTACATTTTAGAACAACTCTCATACATTTGTTTTGGAGTACCTGAAGTCTGCTTACTTGTTCTTTATTACATGAAAGTAAAAGTGACATACAAAAGTTAAAGTGTGGATATACAATTGTGTTATAAACAAGATTTCTACTCCATTGAGACAAATTTGAAGCTATTCTTCTAAAGAACCCTATTTTCTTCCCTAATTTCCTACATAAGTAGTCTGCATGACTGTTGAAAGTCAATTGAGGATCTAAAATAACTCCTAGGTATTTAATCGTATATACTTGTTCAATGGCAATATTGTTTATACAGATGATAAAATTTCGCTCCGCAAAATTGTTACAGGTCGATTTAGATCCCATTGCCATAAACTTGGTTTTATTTGCATTTAGTTTTAATTTGTTGATACACAACCAGTCATACAGAATACTTAGCTCACTGTTTAAGGTGCGAACAGCTTCTTCAAAATTAGTAGCCGCGACAGATATGAGTGTGTCATCCGCAAATAAACTTACAAAAGATTGTTGTAACGCGTCCTTTATGTCGTTTATATATATAATGAACAATAAAGGGCCCAGGACACTGCCTTGTGGTACACCGAAATTACATTCCGTTCCATTGGACACACTGTTGCCTACTCTAGTTTGGTGGTATCGGCCTTGAAGGTAGTTGTGGATTAATTTTATGGCATCTGATTTTATACCATATTTCTGTAGTTTGTAGAGTAGCAGTTTCCGATCAATCGTTTCAAAAGCACGCTTTAAATCCACAAATACACTCAAAACTACTTTTCCTTTATTAATTTCCTCCCTCCAGTTAAAACATGCAAATTGCAATGCCGTTTCACATGAATGACCATCACGAAAACCAGACTGCCCTGAGTACAAAATATTGTTTCTTTCAAAGAATAGCTTCAATTGATCTCTTAACACAATTTCAATAATTTTATCTATAGTTGGTAGTAAATTAATTGGCCTAAATTGTTCTGGCAGGGTTGGCGACGGAACTTTAGCTATTGGCACGATTACACTAATTTTGAGATCCGAAGGGATTCGTCCACTAGTTATCACTGTATTTACAATATTTAGCAAGGGATATCCAACTACACAAAATAGGTCTTTAAGAAGTTTTGGACTTAAAAAACCGTCACTCGAACTTTTATTCTTTAGGCTGCTCACTATTTTTTGTAACTGGCTGAAAGTAATTTCTTGAAATTTTGCTAATTGTTCTTTCTGTACTTCAAGGTCATTTCCAAATTGCAGTAAGCCTTTATCTTCTATACTCTCAGCTAGATCACGAATGCTATCACTGTAATATTTATTAAAGTTTTCTTCAGGTGGTCCGGAATAGCCTTCAAAATTGATTTTATCTATTGGCAGATCTTCTTTCTTCTGTCCAAATAACTGTTTTATTGTTTGCCACATCTTTTTGCTATCTCCTTTGGATTTGTCAATTTTGTCTTCGTAGAATAATTTCTTTTCTCGGCGTAATACATTGACTGCCTGGTTCCTCTTGTTTTTATAATCATTCCAATCCTCCTGAGTACCTGTAAACTTAAATCTATTGTACGCTGCGTTTCGTAATTTTTGTGCCTGTGTAACACGCATATTGATCCATGGTGTCTGATTGCATTTAATTTTATTAATGGGGCTAATTTTATTGAGAGAGTCTCGAACATTATTTGAAAAATTATTATATAACACCTCGACATCCGTTGATGTTGTTTCCCAATGCTTTCCTATCAAGTCCAATATAATTTTATGTATATTTTCCTCATTAATATTCCTTCTCCAGATAAATTTTTCTACAGATGTATGATTTAAGCCAGGTACATTTATTCCTATTACATCATGGTCTGATATTTTAGGAAAGTTTCTAGGGAGTTCAGCCACGGTGAAATTATTAGTTATAATGTAGTCGACGAGAGTAGCCGATGTTGGAGTAATGCGTGTTGGATTTTCAATAATTTGTTTAAATCCGGAGTCAATTACGATATTCTTTATTTTATTAGATGTACTGGTATTTGATTTAAAATCTATGTTAAAGTCTCCCAAAATAATAGTTTCATCGTCGTTAATAAAATCGTTTTTAAAAAGAGCTTCAAAGTAATTTAAAAAATCATGAACATTTCCGTTAGGAGAACGATATACTGCTCCAATAATCAACACTTTTCCATTTATTGTAATTTTAATAATTAATGCCCAATAATTTAAAGTAATTGCAACACTATGTAGAATAGAGAAGTTTACATTTTCATTTAAGTAAATGATGCACCCCCCTGTATGACGACTCTTTGATTCAACTACAATGTGGTTATAATTTAATATTTTATACTCACTTGCATCTATGTCGTCAGTGATATGTGTCTCTGTAACAGTTGCTAGTAAAGGCTTCTCGGTAAAAAGAAGTGTACGTAGCTCATCAATGTGTGATGTTAATCCTTGGATATTAAGGCAAATTATTTTTTGGGTTCCGGTATAGGTTTTTGATGGTTGCTATATATATTGAGTTTTTGATTTGGCTTGATCAATTGCTCTTTTATAACATGCACATTCTTTGTCAAAAACACAGTGATCGAACTTTATGCCTGGAATTTTAAGAATATCATGTGCGTGTTTACAGTTTGTACATATTTTACTTGAAGACTGACATTCTGAGCTTTTGTGGTTGCCATTACATTCAGGACAAACTATTCTGTTTGAGGTACAATGTTCTGCTTTGTGATTATAACGCCAGCATTTAAAACATCGACGTATACCAACATATTCATATACGGGATGACTTTCCCACCCTATAAATATTTTTCGTTTATGGATAAAATGCTGGAAAATTTCTGGCGATACTTCCAATATTATATTGTAGTTACGTTTGTTTTTGGGAATATATTTTTTTATGAAGGTTAATTCTAGAGTGGTTTCTTCAGAAAAATTTTGTTTTCTAATACAATTTAAAAATTCATTTTCATCATCTAATTCCGTTTCTTTTACATCGACGATTAAAATTTTTGGTTTCACTATTTTTGGTACTTCCACCCTGTATTTATCTGATAGTTGATTTTCAACAATGTTCTTAATTCTTTTTGTTGACTCCTTATCATCACACTGTATCAAAACACTGCCATGACTTATTGGTTTTATTTTATTGATAGCGACCGCGATATCAGCTGGATTAATTTTTTCTGCTATGGCACTTTTTGTTAATGTACTAGTTTGGTTCTGGTTTTTTGGTTTGATAATTAACGGAGGTTCGTTTTTCTTAACTGCTTCGGAATATTTTATTTTGTCATCTGATTTTAATTCTTTTATATTTTCCATCATCTGTTGTGTATTTTCAATCAACTTTTCTGTTTTTGCTTCAATTTCTAGAATTTGATGAGTGAACAATACCTTTTCATCCATTCTAATTACACACTCATCACAAAACCAAAAAATATTTCTGTTTTCATTTATTGCTTTTTGAACTACATCTTTTAGTTTAACACACTGAGCATGATAATGATTTTTGCACAATTTGCATGAAATTAATTTATTATTTACAATAAAATTGTCAGCACAACTGGCACACACGTGTATACCGGTCGGCATCTTGACTACTGTACTCGAAGACTTTTCTACCTCCACCAGTTTGTTTTGTGGAGTCTATGTACTTCTTATAGTTTCTTTCAATTACCCTCCATTTGTTCTCACAATGAGAGAGGGCAAAAAATTACTTTTAAAAATACCGTTCATATCACTGCAAATTGCCTCCCACATTTTTTTTAAAGTGCGTAACTCTAGAGTTCCAACTTTCTTCCGGTAAAGTTTGTATAAGTCTATTAATTTTAATGTTTGGTTATGTGTCCAAATAGCAATAGTTGGTGTATTTACACTTTTTGATGAAGAGGGTAGAGACTCTGAGAACTGAATTATTCCATTTTGCACTAACTCATCCTCAGCCAGTGTTCTTGAATTAGTTGAATTTAATATTATAAATTCATTCATTTCTAAAAATATATTTACATACAAAAACTTATAATGAAATTTAATAAAATGATTTACCTTCCATATTTTTATTTCAGATGTGTGTTAGGTTATCGAGAAAAAGAAAAAACAAGATTTTTGTTAGGTTAGATTAAAATTGGTTTGTTCATCAAAATTTTCGCGTTCGTGCAGTGAAGAATTTCTAACGGTTTGATGACTGTCTTCAACCGCTCATGCGCATTGTAAACAAATCTCAAACTGGTTTCAAACTCACTGCAGAAACAAACCTATAACATAAGAACAATACAGTTAATTAAAAAAAAAAGAAGAGTATTCTAACCTCTACAATTCGTGTATGTTTTAAAAATTAAAAAATATTGTTGAGTTTCTGTTCTTCAGGTTTTTCTACAGTATTTCTAACTTACAATGGGTGAAATTGAGGACGAGAATTTTCCTCGTGGAGGAACTAGACCACGTTTTTCCGGAAAGCGTCAAAAAGAAGATGATAATGTATGTTTTTATAAAGATATTAGTTAATATTGTTGTTACTAACATTTTAAACTTTTTAGCTATTTTCACACACCAAACAAGCCAAAAATAAAAAACAAAGAAAGGAAAGGGTTATACCCGAAACTATAAGCGACGAAACTTTTCATTCATCCCTAAATATACAAGGAACTTTAACTTATAACGTAAATAGTAGGTAGATTTAAATTTAAAACAATATTCATTTAATTTTTTTTAGAGCTTGAAAACAGACATGATTATATTGGGCTGCATTAGACACATTACAAATTTTTCTTTAGAAGTTGAATTGCCAGGACTAACTATTGCTTATGTGAATATTACAAATATATCTGATCCTTTTACAAAGCACTTGAATTCGAAATTGGAAGAATCAGATGAAGACGTTAGTATAACTATTTAACTAATGAATAAATCCGTATATTAATCTCATTTCTATATTCCTACTTTCAGAGTGATATATTGTTGAAGCAAATGTTCAAAATAGGCCAATTCGTTCTAACAAAAGTGATAAATATAGAAAGTAAAGAAAAGGGCATTCATGTAGAATGTACAATAAATCCTAGAGATATTTATAGTGACAAATCCCATAATTCTTTTGAGAATTGGATGCTGATATGGTGTTCTGTACAAGCTGAATTAGAACATGGGTATGAAATAAATGTCGGAATAAAAAATTGCAGGGTATTTTTACCTTCTGAGAATGTTGATGGAGATAGAAAATTATGTAAGAATTAGACCTTTTTCTATAATTATTTACAATAGGTAGTATCTTAGTTTACAAATAGACTTTTTTACATTTGAAATTTTAACTTGCCTTGCAAGTATTTGATACAGTTATTTCTAATATTGGATTTAGTTGTAGGTGAACTTTTGTGGGGCACTATTCACAAATGTGACAGTTCGAATGTAGCTAGTACTCTAAGAATTATTAGTTCTAAGAGTGAACATTTAAAAAATACCAAAATAAAAGAAATGAATAATTTGTATGATTTAATTCCTGGTATGCAAATTGAAGTTATGGTAGATAAGGTAAGTTTTAAAAATTATGGCTATCAGTTTTTGGTAATCTTGTAGTTTTGGTGGGTTCTAAATGCACAATTGTTTGCAGATCACCAATACTGGTATACAATGTAAATTCCTTAATGATTTGTTTGGATACATTGATGAAGGGCATTTATTAGAGGATTTAAGTAAATACCACGAGGGCAATTTGCTAACAGCTTATATTTTATACATTGATCATGCTGTGAAAGTCACACATTTTACTACTTTTGAATTGGATTTAGCTCAATTACCAGAATACAAAATTGGAACTACAGTCACAGCAGAGGTAAGTTGTTTAATTTTAAAGCTTTTTATTTTTATAAACAGGTTATATTTTAAAGAAGGAAGAGAATTATCTAAAATCTAAAGAATGCCTTTTTGGAATAAGAATCTGTTTCACCAGAGAAAAACCCATCTGAAGTTGCAGTCATATGCACAAACGTGTCGTCATAACCAGCGCCATATTATATGATGTTTGACTTCAAATCAGTAGCGTAACCATTTCAAATTTAAATATAAATCGATGGTCTCAAATCAATACCTCCTAAGTACGAAATTTCGAATTTTTACTTTTTCCCATCTATACAAATTAATTTAGAAACAAATTTTAAAAATAACAAAATATGTTTATAGGTTATTCATATATTTATTTACTTGTCAACATTATTTATCAAATAATTAATTGGCTTTATTAAGAAATCAAGACAGTTTAATGTTCCTTCTCTAAAATGTTTAATGTGGACATACGAGGAATTGATTTGAGACTGTCGAAATATGAAAATGGTGTTGTCATTTTCACCAGTTTTAATAAAAGAAATGTTGAAATAAAAAAAATGCAATTTGCAAATCCCTTATAGATTCTATTGAATATGTAATATAGAAAGGAATGATTACTTTTATGGGTTTTTTTGGCATACATCATTTAAATGATCAATAAATATGCTATCGAATTAGCAGGTGGAAATTGAAGACAGGGGTGAAAATGCAACCCTTAGAGTTTTTTAATTGTATGTCGGAAACGAAGCAAAATGCGAAATTTTATGTAAATGAAATTTCACATCGAATTTTTTTTAGGGAAAAATTATAAGAAAAAAAGAATTAAATAGCTAAAGATCTATTTTTTATACTTTTTTGTGTATAATTGCTTTCTGAACAAAGCAAAATTCGTGCAGTTAATATTTTTTTTTTTTTTTTTTTTATAAATAATACGATTCTTTCACATCAAATTATTTATTTAAATTTTTTGGATAAAAATGGACTAGCTGAGATATTGACCTCTTAGGACATAATAGCCTATTACTTCAAGCCCTAATAGTCCAAGCGGCGACCGCCGTAAAAAGGTGGTCAACCAGAATAAGTACAGAAATATATTTCAATACTTTTTGGGTATTAGATGAATAACAAACCATCGGTCTGGTAGTTTATGACTTGTCCAATTTTTTTTTAAATAAAATTTATTTTTTATTTTTTTTGTAAAATTGATCTACATAACTTAAACATAATTTTTTAGTTTACGATGGCGTTTTGATTAGACAAATATAGAAATTCAAGTCTGGCGTTCTTATTCTTGACGCAGCTGTTTGTTAGACCACCCCCAACAAATTTATTACAACAACACATTTTCTATACAAGGTATAAGAAAAAATTAAACATTAAAATTTTTATTTTTTATTCCTCATATAAAACTGGTCTCGTACGTTCGTACGAAGTTTTTTTTTCTTTTATTCAATCAATTTTTGAATTTTTCTTGATTTTTGAAGCATATTTTACAACAGAATCATACAAAAATATTTTCTCATCACTGTACTAAAAACAAACAGATCGATTTTAGAATTGTTTATGAAATTCTATTTCAATTTTGTTAAAAAAAGTTTTTCACAATAAAGATATTATCTTCACATAGTGATTTTATTCTCACATCGTCATCATTAGTCTTTTGTTTTCTTACGTCGGGTCCTTCAACAAGTACACTAATAAAATCATATAATACTTCAGGTATATCACATTCTCCTGAAAATATGTCATCTGTAGTTAATTTATTGGGAAGTTTTGCAGGCAAAAAGTTGATATTATTACGCAATTCGTATGCTGTATCCATAGATATGCTGTATCAAGCAATCCATATTTTTCTGAATTATTTTTTACTGCTGATGAGTGGATTAAATTACATGTCAATATTACGCTTATAATTTACTTTGTTTTTTATGTTTACTGGCAAAGCTTCAATAATAATCTTATCTCCATAAGACTTTAAAATTTTCTCTTCTGAATAACTAGATTTATATGTGTCAAATTTAATATCATTGGAATTTTTGTCTGCTATTTCAATAAATAATGCTTTGTAAAATTTAAATGTCAGAAAAATACTTTTTCCTCGTTGATAATTTCCTTTTCAATAAATTGTAAAATTGCTTCTAGTGCGTCTTTATGTATTTCTCTAACTTTATGCCAGTTTGTTTCTTCTGTTAAAAGATCTAACGTTTTTTCGTATTATTTTTGGTATCGTAATCTACAAATTGCACGATAGACAAGTACTGAGAGATTGTTGAGTTTCTCCAATAATTTAAAGTCATCCAAACCATTTGCAAAAAGTTTAATGTTATTTAACAGCTTATCGGTAGTAGATACTGATAAAGTTGTCTATTACTTCCTACTTTCGTCGTTTGTGATGAACAAAAAAATGCAAACAACAGTTGAATTATTATTCTGTTCTGTCTCAGATTCCAATGTAGTGATGATGTATTTTGTTGCGGCTAAAAATTTTAATGATCACTAAAATATTCTAAAGATAATTCATAAAAAAAGATAATTATAAATTTAATTTACCAATAGACTTATCCTACTATCCATATATTCATCTGATAGTGATAATGGCAGTATTTGAGATAAATCAGCAGAATCGGTAACAAAATCAGTTGAATTAGAAAAAATATTTGGTTCAGCCTAATATTATTAAATGCACTTAGATAGACCGTAACATTAGTAAATTTTTCATTATTTGTATTAACTCTTTGTGAAGATTTATTAAATTCGTCAACCACAGATTTTTTACAGCAACCAGATTACGGTAACATTTCAAATGATAACCTGCATATTTTTGAAGTTCAGGCACGATAGGCACGGCATAAGAAACAATCGGCAGGCTAACTTGTCTTGGCGGCAACGCTACGCGCACATCTACGCGCACATCGCCATTTTGGGGTCCAACCTCTCAATCAAGCCAGTGGCGTCACTGTCGTCGTTTATATCGACAAAAACAAAAAAGTTGCAGCAGCTCGGAATCAGTAGCGTGTATCTTAAATTTATCTTGTTTGTGATGTTTGTATTATGTAGTTATTGTTATTTTTTTAGAATTAGAGATATTTTTTGACGCTTTTTATATAGTAGTTGTTTTCCAGTGTTAATTTCTTAACTTTTAAGTGTATTACTATGTCTGAGCAAAGTTGTGCAGCAAAAAACTACATGAATAAACTGTATTAAAAGATTTTTTCGGTTTCTTAAAGATCCTATTAGGTAGGTATGTATGGTATACTTAAAAAAAAATCCTAGGTTATGGGTCAGTTTGTCAGTTATAAACCTTTGAATATAATATTCAAAATTATAAACCTATTAGTAAGATGTAGGTAGGTGCCTAGTTAACGTCACGTAAAGTTTAGCGTCAATTTATATTTACTTATGTAGGTATATTATTAAGATTTAAAGTAAAATGTTATATTTTAAACATCTCCCGTATGGAGTTGACAAAATAGAAAAATCTTTATTTTTATTTTAAGGAAAAAGTCATTATAAAAAAAAATCATAGGTTTACTATATTAATATGTTAGGTCAGGTGTACATGGTCTTAATAAATGAAGAAACTTAAAATTGACAAAAGGAAAAAATCTGTATTACCTATTGATCAGTTTTCCTTAATAACTTTAAAAGGAAACTTTTTCTTGTAATTTTTTTCAACAAGCAGAATTTTTTTGTAAGGAATTACTTTTTTTTTCTGAAAAAAATTAATATTAATCGTAATTGTGTGATTCCCAAATATTGAAATGCTTAACAAAAATTTAATTCTGATATTCATTTTGATAATTATTCTAGATATGCGAATAACAAAGCTTTATAATCTTGATAAATCTAAAGTATTTTCATAACGAAAAGCAAGAAAATCTTAATTAGCCATTAAAAAAATTATAAGTAGTAAATTAAAAATTAGTAATGTCACATACAATCAAAATCATCATGTGTCTTAAGCAGTGCTATTAAAAATGTAAAATTCTTATATTTTGTCGAAGTAAATTCAAAAGCCCGCCAATTTTCAAACTAAAATAGCATTACATCTTTCTATATTATTGACTGAGTATTAATTGCACAAAACTATTCCATATGTCGCTGAAGGTAAACATGCTGCCAAATTTCTATGAGGAATCTGCAACTCTTAATTATCCTTCCTCCATGATGGTAACTGTGTAAACCTTACATCGGTCCAATTTCAAAGGACGTTCAAAAAATTGGAATGTTTAAATTTATTACATTCTGGAACTGAAAACTGCGAAACAGGTGGGGATGTTTTACTTGTAAGGCTGCATGAAATTCGTAGAACTAGTAAGGATGAGCCATTTTCGGAGATTAAAATGACATTGTTAATGTAAAAATGTCATTTTAAACTTCATTTAACACAACGGTGGAATCGGTCCTAAGTTATATTTAAGGCTGCTCATATATTACACTTTAAAAATATTAATAGAAATTTTAAGACCATCAATAAGAACAAGCTAATTATTTGGCGCAATCTGTAGAGCTTTTTTGTTTTAATACGATCCTGCCTATCAATACCTTATTTTATTACAAAATCTTTAAATACGCTTTAATCCGACCCCCGAATGGCGTCGCCAAGGTCAAATTTTCTTAGTATAATATTTGTATGTGATCAGCGGCAAGTGAGCCTGCCGATTGTTTCTTATGCCGTGGTTCAGGTATTAATATTAAATCACCGTACTTGAAATGATTTTTTTTCTTATTTCAATAAATAAACCACATCTTTGAAATGTATCAGCATTAAACGATAATACTTTCTCCTTGCTATTAGTGATATTACAGATGATAAAGCATTTCATTTTTCTAATTCAATAAAAAATTATTTAATTATTTAGCTAAGTAAATGTCATTTCAAAACAGGCACATCACATTTTGGCGAATTAAACAGGTTAAGATTTTAATGATGTCAACTATGTTAAAAACAAAAACAACTCACACTTTACAAGCAGTAGAGAAGGACTTGCTTAATCTTGGTCTGGCAGAATTTTGGTCAAGTATGAACGTGCCAGACCAATTTTATTCGAAAGAGGAATAAAAAATAAAAATTTTGAACTTTGATTTTTTTCTTATACCTTGTATAGAAAATTTGTTGTTGTAATAAATTTGTTGGGGGTGGTCTGACACAGTTGCGTCAAGAATAAGAACGCCAGACTTGAATTTCTATGTTCATCTGGTCAAAACGCCATCGTAAACTAAAAAATTATTAAGTTATGTAGATCAATTTTACAAAAAAAATAAAATATAAATTTTATTTATAAAAAAAATTGGACAAGTCATAGACTACCAGACCGATGTTTGTTATTCATCTAATACCCAAAAAGTAATAAAATATATTTTTGTACTTATTCTGGTTGACCACCTTTTTACGGCGGTTGCCGCTTGGACTATAAATGTATCATTTAGGTAATAAAAAAAGGTAAAAAACACAAAATAGGAACTTATAATCATATAAGTCCAATACTTTTTAGTAGAATTCAATTATTTTTAAACAAATTATAATTTGGTTTCTGCGACTGCCATTGTTTCAACTCCAGTTGGGTTTTTCTCTCGTTAAAGGGAGTGTACCTGTGAAAAAAATAACATCTCATTTCCATCGGCGTAGCTTGCCTCAGTTTTCAGGGGGGGCAGTGGTTCCAGGTGTACGTTGGATTAAAATATATATATTTTTAATTGCGGCGCAATGAATGGTAAAAAATACGCTATAATAGTGCATAGTGGTTTTAATATTTCAATATAACTAATACATTTATTAACTTAACATAACGATTAATATTAAAAGTACTGATTATCTACAACAGAAGTTTTCTACCCTGTTTACTGAAAGAATCTACAACACTGTCCAAGTCGATATAAACATCTTTTTTTACGAACAACAAATACAAATCTGAATGTCTGTCTTAAATCGCTAATATTAAGCTCTTCCAATTTATTAGAAATTAAATTGAATAAATAATAAATTTAGGTAAATTTAACTACTACATTTTTTTGATACACAGTTTTTTATTTAAATAATCTTTCAGAGGGGGCCAGAGGTATATCAGGAGGGGCCAGCCCCCTCCCTAGCTACGCCAATGCTTATTTCTTCCTATGAAAGTATCTTCAAAGTGAAAACAAACCAAAAATAGTAGAAGCTGTTCAAAAACGGATGCTTACTCTCTTTATGATTAATACCTGTATAAGTAATGTAGAAGGTGTATTCAAAATAGGTTGCTCAAACTGGAAGATATAAGCCAAGTAACTAATTGTATACTTTGAACTTTCCTTGTCTTCTGTTTAATGACATAATATCTGAAAAATGTGGAGCCATTAAACAGTTTCTGTTTAATGCTTATGTTCAAAACCTACAATTAGTATGGAATCTAAAGCATAGCATACATTTTTAAAACAGAAAGACAACTGTTGTTATAAAGAATATAGAAAACTAAGACTCCCTTCTAAGCATTAGAGCTACTTATTATCATGAATAAATATAAATGATATATTTTTCAATAAAATAATCAATTCATCTTTTATTTAAGGTCATTTCCAAAGCACGCAACGGTATATATTTAAAACTGCCCTCAAAAGCACGTTGCATAGTAACCAATAGAAGACTCGTCAACTCTTGGCCAAAAAAATTCGCCAATATGGATATCTCCGAAACTATCCGTCTTAAATTTGCCCCGAAAACTCGTCATAATTGCCGAATTTTGGACTACAATCATATGTCCAGAACGTACATTGGAACTGTGGAGCCGTCATTGATTAAAGAAGCTATTTTCACCGCTGAAGATGTTGTTCTAGGGCAGCTGCTACATGTGGTCATTGACAAAGTTAAGGCAGAAGGTTTGGTAGTATCGGCGGGGCATATAAAAGGATTTATACCGAATTTGTATCTATCGAATATCAAATATAGTGATGCAATTAAGAAGAAATTTAAGGAGGATCAGAAGATTAAAGCTAGGTATACAAACAATACAGTTTTTTTTTTAAATTTTAGTTTAACCAAGGCAACAGTAAAAGTATTATATTGGTTTAAGAGCCCATGACATTTGAGTAAGTAAATCCTATGCAAAAAAAATAGTGCATATCATTATTGAAAAATTGTTTAATTACGATGTCTGTATGGCGCTATGATGATGAGTTCAAAATAGGGGTTGCTCGGGCGCCAGTTTTAGTAACACAGTGTGCTCTGCGACCCTGTAGCACACCAGAGTATACTCAAGGTAAAACTTCCATGCGGTCACTGTTAAAGGTAGTCACTAAATTAGGATTGAAGCACTTACCTCCCTTATACCTTGTACCCTACGGTACCCTGAAAGAAAACGGTCAAGAGCCGGTAATGAAAAAAACACAGTGATAAATAACCAAATATATATATATATAAAAATAAAAAAAATAACACCTCGGCCGGGTATTGGCTTCCCGGGTATAAAGAGAACAATAATACCGGTCAGAAAGATCGGTTGAGTTATACAAGGAAATCAAACAATCAAACGGGAATTTATGATTCCCTCTGTATACAGAAAATAAATTTTTCCACATAAATTAAAATTAATTTTCAAAACAAAATAAGTTGAAATAAGTAAACGGTTCAAAATTTAGGAAACGTTCCCCCTGTATACAGAAATATGTTATATTCCAAGTATTTTCTTAAAATTGCATAAAACTCCATTAAATGAACAGGTATCTCCATTTACTGAACGATAGCAAATCAGTGAATGAACGTATGTGTTTTTATTCCCAAAAAAAGTATATAGGTAGGTAGGTAGGTAGGTAGGTAACATGTAATAGGTAGTTATTAGTTTAACAGTCACACAGTAATTAAAAATTTACTATGTAGGTATAAAAGAAATTATAAAATGTTAACATAAAAATAGCCGTCAGAACCACCAGCGCTAGGTTCTGGAATTTTCTTCACTATGTTCTGATACCTATACCATATCTTATTTGGAACATTTGGCCATCTCCGTTTATGTTTCTTGCCGTGCTCTTGCTCCATAGTACTTATTTCATATTCTTCCTTCTCTATGCCTGTTACTAACCCAGGGTATCTTTTGTTTTAGTATTTGACTATCACGTAGTCCCCTTTGTCTATCTAAACAACTTCGATTTTAAGTTTTTTTTTAAAGGTTGGTCTTCCTGGGCACCTTCATCTGTTGTCCCAACTCGCTTTTTTTTGGTTTGGTTCCTTTTTTCTCTGTATTGCTGACGTTACGTTTGGTAGGCGTATTCAGTTTTTTTTTAGAATCAATTTTCACTTTTGATTCCTTCATTTTCATTTCTCTTTTCAGTTTCTTCTCTCTCAGTTCATTTTCTTTCTCTTATCTTCTTTTTTTTGTTATGATACTCCACTCACTTGTTTGAAGTAATTGCAAAAGGCAATTTAGATTGAACAGTACCACGTTTCTTCAGTTGTCCCTCCTGTTTTGGCCAATACAAATGTTTTTCCCACAACTTATTCACGTCGTTTCCTTTTTTCTCGTCAATTACAATATTTGATATTATATTTATGTTTTTCTCGCTGTCACATTGGTTTATCTTTTCAGATGCTTGTCCGGTTTTAGAAATGTCAAATTCTTACTTGAAATCAAGGCATTCTCAATAATCATTTCAAGCATCTCTTCACAATTTTTTTTGCTTTCAATTCTCTCAATATTGTCATCATTTACTGTATCTAGGATAAGATCATGTATTGTCACATTATGGTAAATTTCAGTGTTTTCCAGGTATAAAACGTTAACTTTGTCATTGGTATTTCTCTTCACTTCGGATTCGCTAGGAGCTGCTACCAAGGGATCTGTTGGTTATAATATATCATCTATTTGTAAAGGTAAACTATTTATAAAGGACTCGGAGAAAACAAATCTATTGATTCACAGTTACTGTCATGTAAGTCAGTAAATGTTTCCAATACAGTTGCATCTTCTTGTTGTATGACTTCTGCATGATTCGTTATATTTGCGCATAAATCTTCAGCATCTTGAATTTTACATGATTTCCAAAAACGATACATTTCGTCATCATTTTCTTTATCTTCATCTTTCGAACTAAATTTCCTATTAAACTCAATTCTGACTCTGTCCAAAAACTGTTCTACAACTTTCAAAGACGATTGATACTCTTGATGTGTCAATATTTCACTTCTACCGAAGATTTCTTTACGCCTTGCAGAAATACATTTTGAGAAGTCAACAGCATCAGAATTTAGTGGATATAATCCGCATGCTCTAAAGCCATTAGTAATAGTGTCAGGCTTACAGGCCTTATCGAATGCTTCTTTAAATATGCTACAGAAATTATGAAGTGTAATTGGGGTACTTGTTCGTTGCTTGTGTCTGCGTGACACTTCCTTCCACTACACTTTCAAAGGTCGAAAAATGCTTACATCACAGGGCTGCAAGATGTGTGTTGCATTGGGATATAAACAATACAGAACTATTTTGTGTTCCACACAAAATTCATATAGCTCCATGTTATAATGGGACTTATGCCCATCTAGAAATAAAATCACTGGAAGCCGAAATCCTTTTTCTACCAACCATGGAAAAAATACGTTAGCAACGTATTCGAAAAATGTTGCGGAGGTCATCCATCCCGTATCAGATCGTCCAATACCCCAACCTGGAGGAACAGAAAGAGCTAGCTCTTTGGGTATCCTACGGGAAAACGACCATTGACGGGACTGCGTCACTAGCTGCTGAATAGTTACATAATACTGTTATAGATTCTTTTTCGGCTCCAGAAGCAATTTCGTAGAGGTTATTGAATTTTCTAGTCGTACCTAGGACTAATCCTGATTGCATGCATGTTTTCATAATGGTTTCATCGGTATTAAAAACTCCGAGTTGGATCGCCTATCATATCTAATAAATTATCATTTTTCAGAAATTTAGTTCTGCAAACCATTCGCGAATGGCTTCTTCCGTAACTGAAGCCCGCGATTTTGATATGATTTCGGTATTTCGTTTGGCAATGGTTGGGTGCCTCTGCAAGAACAGTTTTAACCGTTTTTTACCAGGCCTGTCATCGGTAAACTTGTTTGGTCTTGAAGCCTCTTTGAGAATATTCTGGACAGCATCCATCATAACATTGATTGGATACATTGGGAAGCCTAATTTTGCCTTTGCCAAAATCCAACTTTCCAGCCTTTCCTCTTCAGCGGGACTCAATACTGAGGATGGACCCATCTTCCTTTCAAGCGGTACTTTATTTTGAAATTTTATTGTGTAGGGTAGATTTAAGAATACCATATTTCAAAGATGCTTTATTCAAGCTTACACTTCCGTTGTTAATTTCATCTATAGCTTTAATTAAATCTTCTTCGGTGTACTTGAAGCGCAATCACTTTTTCTCCATCTAGAAAGAAGAAAATGTATTTTTACCTATTTACAATTAAAAAATGCCATAATAGTTTAATTGGTGCCAATTTATTCAAAAAAAGGAGGTTTAGGTGAATGCTCCAGTGAATGAACAAATGAAGACCAGTAAATGGACACCGTTCATTTACTGGTATATCACCTCACACGACGTAATTATTTTAATTTGTAAGTTTGTTTCATAAAGATATATATCTTAAGACCTAGTTTTGCTTGTTTTCCACAAATACGCAAAAATCCAGTAAATGAAATATCTGTGAACCAGTGATTGAACATATTTTATATTTTAAACATTAAGTACATTAGATTGAGTTTAATGTAAAAATATTAGTCCTTTATTAATTATAATTACCGCTAAACACCCAAAATATGTCAAACACCCTTCATAAATGCAGATTTCATAGTTTTATAAAACATCAATTTTTGGCTTACCTTAACAAAATATGGCTGCCCGGCCGTTGCACTGAAACATCGACTACTATAAATGAGTGGCAAGGCTAGACTAACGGATTTTTACAGCGCGTCTAGTGAATGAACACTTACGGAATAAGCTAATTGACTATACGACAGAGACAGAAGATATTTTAAAAGCGGATCGTCTTATTTTAACGGAAAATAAGACTAAGTGTTCATTTACTGGGTGATGTTCATCTACTGGTGCACTGACCCTAAAAACATTTTAAATTAACAGAGACCCCGTCTTTTTGTTTTACATCGTGTGAAAGTGTATTCCGAATAGGGTTATAACTTACCCGGCTTTACTGAAAATGAACTTGACCGTGTTGGCCGTTACACATCTTCCGTTATCGGCTGTTCGCTCACTCAGCCAAATCACGAACCCCTTTTCCATTCTCGCGCACATTCCACTTTGGGTTTAACTGAGTCGATACGCCAGGGGCGTACTCCCAATATTTCACCACCCTGTATATGGGAAATAATATTTTACGAGGAATAGAATTAATGTACTACACTGGGTATTCGGTCGGAGACGGCTTGTTTAAGAATTAACACAAAATCAAGTTTGCACGTCGTTAGCGAATTTTCGAGGTTTTCGACCGGCTTTTGCAAAAACATTATTCTCGACAGCGGAGAATATACTATAGGGGACGTCGGTTGTAAAGCTTCCTGAATCGGAGGCTATTCAGGTGATCCGCAAATGGCTCAACCAAGAGGTTTTACAACGCTAAATCGCGAAAATTTAATTAACAATAATTAGAAAAAAATTATCGCGTCAATTTAATATTAAAAAAAAACTGAATGTTATACCGGGTGGGGTTGAAAAGCTTTCCGGGTCAGAGCCTATTCAGGAGATGCGCAAATGGCTCAACTAAGAGAGTTTTGACAACGCTAAAACGCGATAATTTAACTAATAATAATTAGAAAAATAAATAAATGCTTAACTAGAGGGCAAGACGAGAACGGCAATTTCACATGGCTAATAATCGGAAATACTGGAACCTAAACGGTTCATTAACTTTGTAGCACTATAACGGTGAAAAGCTTCGGCGAAAATTACTGGAAACTACGGTGGTCAAGGAGTGAGTTTTTCTAATTTTCACCGCACTTTTACTTATGCCGTTTAAGC